TTGATACTTGAACAGAACTTTTTGCCTCAGCTGTTTACTCAAACTAAATCTTAGTTTCAAACCCTCTTTAAATTAATATATATATTTTAGTATGGTAAAAACTAACATGCCTGTTTATCCCAGGGAATGCCAATTTAAGTGAGGTTATACATCCCTCTCCAGAGGATGTGTGAAACTCAGACAACAGTTTTTATTCTAAAATTAAAACTCTCAGCACTACATCAAAAATTAAATTATATGTTTAATTTTTGCATTTTGTTTTCTTTCTAACTGGAACTTTCATGGAATACTGAAAGTGCTTTTTTAATGTTTCTGCAGTTTTGGATGAAATTACAATAAAATAAACATATTAAATTTCAGACACTGTAAATTATCTCAACTTACAAAGATTAACATTTTCTGTGTGTGAAATATGAAAGGAAGGTGTTATCTTTCAGGGTCAGGANATTACATAGACTCCCCAGCAAACTTTCGCTCAATATCACCAAATCGATTACTGAAGCACCCAATCCAGATGTATAAGTGAAGTCCGCTGGTGAATCAAAAGGATAATGACCATTTATTATGTATAAATTATAGGATTTCACCAGTTCAATAAGCAAATTCCCTCTTTTATTACAAATTTTATCGTTTGATAGTCGAATATTCGAAATCACATCACCACCACAAATAGTATCCATAGTCAAACCAATTCGTGCATTAAAATCACCCATCATCAGAAAATCATAATCTGATGTATAATCAGAAATTAAATCNGATCACCTGTGTTCTGCAGACCACAGGGGTAAGATTATCAGTGCAGCCTATTTACTACTACTATTATTACTAATACAGGTAAACCCCATATAACACGGGAGTTACGTTCCAAAAAATTGCCATGTTATGTGAATTCGTGTTACACGAAACAAAGAACTAGTGCAAAAAGGGGGGTTAGGTTCCAAAAATTAAAAAACATGCTGTTAAATCCTTATTTAAATTGGATTTATTATTTATTTTTTTCATAGGTGAAATACTTATTTATTATTTAAATAAATATTTTACCAGAGGATTATTCATCCTATATGATGATCTCAGCATGAGCATCATCAACTGATAACAGTTTTTGGGTGTGTTCGTTAATAGCAGTCACTCTGCAACGGAAGGGCGCTGTTGTTTGAAGGCATTTAGGAACGACGGTGAAAGAAAGATGGCGGCACCCACGCTATCGATAGTATCGTGATGGAGGAATCTATAATTCTAAAATGAGCTTTTAGAGGCAAAAGAAGGGTCCCAATTGTAAAATTTAACCATTAAATGGATTATTTATTGAAAGAGAATTCAAAGTAGCCACAAAAACAAGTAGAATGCTTGCGCGGAGTTATGCAGAGGTATAAAAGAACGCACCCTTTATTTCATTTTATGTTGTACAAGGGTTTTACATAATTCCCAAACTCTGTTAGAGTGAACCCATGCTATAAAAGCACTGTGTTATACGGGGATGTTCCCAATTCTCAAACTGTGTTAGAGTGAATTCGTGCTATAGAAGTGCCATGTTATACGGGAGTTACCTGTACTAATAATCTGCTAATTGTTTTATTGTAAACAAAACACTTTTTCAGTCAAATTACAATGCTGTTCTTTTATTGTACTCTGAAGAATTTTTTGTGAACATTTATTTAACAATTAGTTTTGTTAGATTCGATTAATTTTATTTTTAGTCGCAATTTAGCCAGCATGCCAGTTTCCCCTGGTTATATGCAACATGCCAATCAATCCACAGAAATACAGTAAGATAAATAATTTACTTCAAGGTGAAATTATTGATTACATAAGAAAAATAATTTGAAAAAAAATAGGAAAAATAAAAAGCATGTAGATTAACTAAATTGGCTGTTTATAACAGTCAACAATGTTGTTTTAAACACTTAATGTTAACTCTTTAAACTTTGAAAATTTAGTTTACCTGTGTACCTGGATATGAAATTGTTTTTACCACTCATGCTTGGCCTTAGTGGTAGAAAGAATTATTCATTCCAGTAGTAGAAGAGTTCAAATTTGCTTTAGGTGGGAGAATGGCATGCAGGAAGAATGAGGACTGTCTTGCTGCTATTATTTGTACAGTAGTTTCTGTTATTATACTTTTAATTTTATTGCTGTTTTGTAATATTAAAAAAATGCTTATTTTGTATTTTTTAATTGAAATAAAATTAAAAACATTACCAAACAATTGCCTAAATAATCAGGCTATAAATAACTCCTCTAACTTTAATGATTAATACAAAATAATGTGGTACTAGAGGTAGAAGTTAGGCACCATCTTTTAACTAAGTTAATAATTATAATTTTAATAATTTATTAAATAATTTAGAACCATCTGGAAGAAAAGAACTGACCTGGGGTAGGACTTGAACTTGCAACCTTCAACGTGTTTGCCAGATGTGCCACCCAGATACCAAACAGGCCTTCACTTCCAGATGTATTTAAATTTTAGATATAACCTTATGTGGTTAATCATGTCATTGGCTGGGGACAACTCATATGCTTACAGCCTAAAAACAACTCCACAATAGCACTCAGCCAGCTAACTGTGCGATTAACCACATAAGGTTATTTCTAAAATTTAAATACATCTAGAAGCAAAGATGTTTGTTTGGTATCTGGGTGGCACATATGGCAAGCTCACCATACAGCAGGTGGAAGTTGCAGGTTCAAGCTCCGCCCCAGGTCAGTTCTTTTCTTCCAGATGGTTCTAAATTATTTAATAAATTATTAAAATTATAATTATTAACTTAGTTAAGAAATGGTGCCTAACGTTTACCTCTAGTACCAAATTACTTTGTATTAATTATTAAAATTAGCGGAGTTATAGCCTGATTATTTAGGCAATTGTTTGGTGATGTTTCTATATGCATATTGGGCTTTGCAATGTTTGATATACTGAAATAAAACTAGTTTTGTAAGAAGTGGTCATTTCTAAATAGTGAACTAATTTATACTTAACTAGCAAATGAGCCCAGCATTGCTCAGACATTGTTACTTTTATAGCCGATTTCACCTGTTTTCACCAAGTGCAATAATTAGATTCCCTCTCTTCCAAGACTAATTAGAAAATTTTTAGATATGTTTTTACCACACTGAGATAATGATAATTAATACTCACTGCAACCACTAACCGGTGCGTAGTACCACTAAGTGATAATAAATGTTTTCGTAACTCTTTCTGGGTTCTTCTTCAGGTTTAATAAATTCAAAAATAAGCTGAATATTCCAGAATCATTCATAAATATAAATTTGAACATAAAATTGAACATTAAGACAAAGTTTGAATAAAGCAAACTTATATACTTCTAAATATCACTTATGGTAGCTGTTATTTCGTTATGAATGTATGTCTCTTTAATCTGACAAATTGCTGTATTTGATAATCTACCGAACGTAATTTGTTGGATTAAAGAGACATACATTCATAACAAACTTATATACATGCTCTTCCTGTGTCAACTTTATATATGATGGAACACTAAATATTGTTGAGAATTTTTAGAAGGGTCTAAATGCATAAAAGGCATCTAAAATATTACAGTAAAAGCCAAGTTCTTCGGGGTAATCCTTAACTCTCTCTCTCTCTCCTGCAGTAGGAATTTCGAAAAACCCCTTCTTAATGTGCATTCTCATGGCATATCCTATTAAAATGCAAAAAAAGTGCATTTAAAATTGTATAGTAGAAGCCGAGTTTTTCACACTAAGCCTTAATTCTTTCCCTGTAGGGGGGAATTTTGAAAACTCTCTTCTTAGTGTATGTTTTCATGATGTACCCTAACTGTGTACCAAATTTCAACTTTCAACTCCTAACTGTTTGGGCTCTATTGAGCAGTTATTATCTTTGAGCAGTTATCATCATCATTATCAACCCATCTCAATTATATTATAAGATTTGCACTTTGTTAGCAATTTCTTTAATTTTGTTGAGGTTTGAGAGTATTAATTATTCTTTTTATCTGTTGGTTGTGTGGCAATTTTTTTTTTATAATAATTTACTTGTTCCATTATATATTCTGTATTAATTTGAAAATGACTTGTCAAATAAATGAAAATAAGGAGAATATTGAAGAGAATTTTGTATGAAAATCATAGTGATGAGGAAATCAGTGATGCAAATGATAACAATGGTGATTTCTTACTCAAGAATGATGAAGAATCAGATACATCTTATAAACAAAAATGAACTTCACTGTTTGAGAAGAAAGAAACCAAAAACTTTGCCTACGGTCAATTTTTTTCACAAATAGATTAAAACCATTTTGGCCAGTCTCATGTTTAAAGAGTTAATCTATGAAAAAATAAAAGTTATCTTTAATAAATCTAAACAATGTAAAATTAATGTTAAAAAATGATGCAAAACATCAAAAATTAGCAAAAAACAATAGAAATAGTTGAAAAAAGTAAATTGGCCAACATATTTGTCTCATGGACTTAACATTGTACTTTTGCTACTCTGTCACTCTTGCATCCTTCTCAATATTTTTTTAGCAACATCACCTACAGAGTAATGTTGCTAAAGAGAGATTGAGCTTTAATTTCATAACTGAACCATATTTTTAGTCACAGCCATTTACTCAAACTAAGTAAAAATGAAACTCTAAAATATTTATATATTAATTAAAAAATTTTCAACAGCTTATAACTAAAGCATTGAAATTTTGAATCATATTAATTTTTGTTGATCTTTAATGGACTGTAAAAATATGAAAGTACTGTGGTTTTGCAAAAAAAGACGTTTAATGTGGAATGAAACACTGATACAAAATGGCAGCTACAAATGGCCATTACAAAACTACTCTCATTCACAAATTTTTAAATTAAAAAAAAATTTTTTTTATTACAAAAATACAGTGGCGCTTGAGGCGCTAACATCCCAGCCCGCATTGAAGTAATACTTCAATAAACAATGTTAAACAAATCTAAATTTAATAATTACAACAGAAATGGCACATGTAGGTCACCAAGACAAACCACATTTTCTTCCTAGATGGATGGTAACAGGCACAATTTGGTTATGCTTCATTTAAAAACATCCCTAGGCATTTTCACCAGAACCCCTCTTCATCTTTCCATCAGATCGTTTGATTACTTCTTGTACTCGGCCCATCGACCAACTACCGGGTGGGAGATTTTCATCCTTTAAGAGGACCATTGAGTTTGGTGTTATATTGTCTTTCTCAAATTGCCACTTATGTCGGGCCTGTAAGTTGTTTAAGTAGTCCAATTTCCACTTATGCCAAATAACTTGAACAAATTTAGTTAACATTTGCCATTGAGACAAATAATTATCTGGTTTACCAGTGAGATCTGATTCAGGTAGGCTAATCAGAGGTCTTCCGATAAGAAAGTGTCCTGGAGTTAGAACTTGGAAGTCGCTTGGATCAGAGGACATAGGAGTGAGCGGTCGGCTATTCAAAACTCCTATCTGTGTGGTGATGGTTATAAACTGTTCTATAGTTAGATGCAAGTTATCCACGGTTCTCTTTAGGTGATGTTTAAAGGACTTGACTCCTGCTTCCCAAAGGCCACCGAAATTTGGTGATCTAGGTGGTATGACCTTCCAAGTGACTTCCTTGCTGGTGAGATAATCAGCTAAACTATCAGGATGTGCTCTTACGTAGTTATGTGGGCGTTTCAACTCCGCACTGGCACCCACAAAATTTGTGGCATTATCTGTCCAAATTGATGCACTTTTACCCCGTCTGCTAAAAAATCTTTTCAAAGTTGCTATCATTGCCTCGGTTGTTAAGTCAGTAACTACTTCAAGGTGAATTGCCCTAGTCACAATGCAAACGAAGACTGCGACGTAGCACTTGTGATAGATGCCCTTTCTTTGTCCTTTATATTTAATAAGAAAAGGACCACAAAAATCAATCCCTACATGTTTGAAAGGGGGATTTGGAGTGATTCGCTCTGAAGGAAGATTTCCTAGGATTTGTTCCATGCCTTTGGGTTTATTTCTAAAGCAAACGATGCATTCATGTACTACCCTTCTAGCCAGGTTTCTTCCACTTAAAGGCCAGAATTCTTGTCTGACGAGATAAAGTAAAGTTTGCGCACCAACATGCAAATTTTTCAAATGATAATATCTCATAATTAAGTAGGTTAACTTGTGATTTTTAGGTAGCAGAATTGGAAACTTTTTGTCAAATGGTAAATTTGAATTGCTCAATCTACCGCCGACTCTCATTAGGCCTTGTTTATCTAGAAAGGGATGCAATCTGCTTAACTGACCCTTCGTTAGATTCCTTCTCATTTGCAGTGTTTTTATTTCTTCGGCAAAGGCAATTCCTTGTACCTTGCCGATCAAATAAATTTTGGACTCCTGGAGTTCTTCCCTTGATAAAGGTCCAGATCGACGAGTTACATGCCTTATGTTATGTAGAAACCGGAAAATATAACTGAGTATGCGAATTAATTTCATATAATTATTATTAAGTTCAAACAAGGTATTGTCAAGGTCAGAGCTTGACACTGACATTAAATTAACGTCCGATTGGTTTTTAAGCTCAGATAGATATTGTTCATCTGAGGAAGTGTCGATGGCATATTCATCCTGATGTTCAACGGATGATGCTAGTTGAGATTGCGGCCCACTCCACCATAATTCCATGGATAGTAGATCTTGCGGTTTTAAACCCCGAGAAACTACATCTGCAGGATTGGAGTGGGAGGCTATATGTTTCCAGTGACAGCCTTCAGTAATAGATCGTATCTTTTCCACTCGATTCGCAATAAAGGTCTTCAGGCGATATGCGGGAGTGTTGATCCAAGCGATGGCAATAGTTGAATCTGTGTGTAAGATCACCTCAGCTATATCCATTCGCAGACATGAGCGTACTTTCTTGATCAGCTGAGACAGTACAAGACAAGCTGATAGCTCTAATCGAGGGATTGTAATGACCTTAAGAGGAGCAACACGAGATTTACTAGCAATAAGTCGTGTCTTGCCAGCTCCATCTTCCTTTATGCAATGCATGTAAACTACTGCTCCATAAGCTGACTCCGAAGCATCTGCATATCCTAGCAAGACAGCTCTTTGAAGGGGGTCTGTCAAAATATATCTAGTAATCTTAAGGTCGTCCAAGGCCTTCAAGGACGATACAAAGTTCACCCATTCATAATTAAGGTTTTCTGGTAGAGTATCCTCCCAATTGAGCTTACTGAGCCACAGTTTCTGTAGAAAGATCTTTGCTCGAATTATAACTGGTGCTAGAAGACCCAAGGGGTCATAAAGCCTGGCGATGACACTCAACACTTCTCGTTTCGTATAAAGCAATTTTTCTGGAATCGATACCTTGAATATGAACTGATCTTCAACCGGTTTCCAAATAATGCCTAAGGTTTTTACTGTTGGTTCCGCACTTGAGGAAAAGCAATGCTCTTTATTTTCTGGTGAACTGCTGTTCATCAATTTCATTGAATTAGAATTCCATTTGTGTAGTGTCATTCCACATGTGCTCAACATATTGCACAACTGAGATTGTAGTTCGAGGGCAGCATCGAAATCTTGCTCACCTGATACGATGTCATCCATGTAGACATCTCGTAATATGGTTTTAGAGGCCAGAGGATAGCTTGCTGCTTCATCGTGAGCTAACTGCTTAAGAGTTCTCACCGCAAGAAAGGGAGCACTGGCGGTTCCGTAAGTCACAGTTTTCAGTCTATAGGTGACTGGCATTTCATCTTCCTCGTTCTTCCAAACAATTCTTAAGAGATCTCGTTGCGAGGGCTCAATTAGAATTTGACGAAACATTTTCTGGATATCTGCTGTAAATGCGTACTTGTATTTTCGAAATCTTGTCATAATCTCGAAAACATCTTCCTTTACTTCACCTTTCAAGAGATGATCATTTAAGCTCAGTCCAGAAGTTGTGGGAGCAGATGCGTTGAAGACTACCCTTAACTTTGTAGTGGTTTTGTCTGGTCTAAACACACCATGATGCGGAAGGTAATAACATATGGGGTTTGCTACCTGATCACCAGAATGCTCTTGCACCTTTTCCATATGATCCAAATCCAAATACTCCTTCATGAAATTCTGATATAACTCCTTTAACTGATTGTTCCTNTTCCTATCAATCAGTTTAAGTTTTCTATCCTCGTCAGTATCAATTAATATTTCAAAATTCACCATATGATGATCAGACATGTAATCATCCGAAATAACAAAATTACATAGACTCCCCAGCAAACTTTCGCTCAATATCACCAAATCGATTACTGAAGCACCCAATCCAGATGTATAAGTGAAGTCCGCTGGTGAATCAAAAGGATAACGACCATTTATTATGTATAAATTATAGGATTTCACCAGTTCAATAAGCAAATTCCCTCTTTTATTACAAATTTTGTCGTTTGATAGTCGAATATTCGAAATCACATCACCACCACAAATAGTATCCATAGTCAAGCCAATTCGTGCATTAAAATCACCCATCATCAGAAAATCATAATCTGATGTATAATCAGAAATTAAATCATCCAATCTTGCAATTAATTGTTCAAAAATAGGTATATGAAGATAGACCAAAATAATTATCATTTCACGCAATCTCCCACTTTGCCTCCGATTAAATCTCACTTTAACGACCATCATATGTTGCCCTGACAGAAGCAAGTTGACTTCTCCCAAGTCACCATTTATACCCAAAAGTAAGCCCCCCGAAGGTCTACCTCTCCCCACATTTTTTGTGGCCAATACCTCAAAAACTTTAAATTTACAGTTAGTACTTTTAACTCTCGAACATAAAGAAACTGTAGACCAGGTCTCGGTCAATCCCAAAATATCAGTTCTAGAAATATGTTCAACAAAACCACTGTCATTCAGATTAGTCAGAAAGGCACCCTGGGAGTTCCATGCTGAAATCTTTAATCCAACTGTACACTTCCTTGAATCGAAGAGGGAACAATTTGAGAATCTACCACACGGTTTTCCACTAAAAAATCGAGTTTCAGTAATTCTCCTCTAGCCAAATCATAGGTAAATCTCTCAGAGGCAACCTGTAAAACATCAGCCAACAATCGAACTCGCCTGCCTTCCAACCTATAAGCATGTAGAAATGGCAAAAGCTTTCTCCGTCTCAATCTTGAGCGCCAGCATAAATCATCAAAAATTTGTATATTTTTTAATGCCTCGTTACCTTTTTTCTTTCCAAGATTAGCAAAAATCAATTTCTTGTCTGCAAATGATTGCAACTCCACCAATACCGTATCTGATCGATTAAATTTCACTACCTTAACCATTGGAATAGGTCTTGATTCACCTGTCAATGTATAAAATAGGTTTTGCACCTTCCTATTCAAATCAGAATCATCATCAGTCAAACCTTTAATTAAGATATTTTTCTTTCTCATTTCATTCGATACCTTGTCCAAAGAATGTAAAATCAAACTGTTTTCCCGTTGCAAATCGTCTTTTAATTTAGAAAACTCTCCTAGTTTGACTTCTAACTGAGTTAAACGCCGGTCATGATCATTATGTAAATTAGCCAACCAATCTATCTTCGTAACAACCTCATTTAACGTCGAAAAAAGCTTATCAAATCGGTCTTCCAAATATGAAATAACCTCCCCAGGAATAGACTTACTTGACTCTAACCTTGAAGGGAAGAAATCTTCCAATCTCGCCATTTTCAATGAAGGTTCATTCGGAGATCGATGTCGTTTTGCTGTGGATGCCGATGAGTGAATCTGAGATTGCGGCGGAGTACGATCAACAGGACCAGGATTTAATTCTATCCCGCCTAAAAATAACAACAACTCAAACACCTTAATCCAAAACTCGATATTTTCCATAATTTAGGCTTAAAAGAAACACACAAAAAAGTTCACCAACTTGCTCAACAGCAAGCAGCGCCCCCCTATAATTAATAAGAAAAGGACCACAAAAATCAATCCCTACATGTTTAAAAGGGGGACTCGGAGTGATTCGCTCTGAAGGAAGATTTCCTAGGATTTGTTCCATGGCCTTTGGGTTTATTTCTAAAGCAAACAATGTGCTCATGTATTAACTTTCTAGCCAGGTTTCTTCCACTTAAAGGCCAGAATTCTTGTCTGATGAGATAAAGTAAAGTTTGCACACCAACATGCAAATTTTTCAGATGATAATATCTCATAATTAAGTGGGTTAACTTGTGATTTTTAGGTAGCAGAATTGGAAACTTTTTGTCAAATGGTAAATTTGAATTGCTCAATCTATCGCCAACTCTCATTAGGCCTTGTTTATCTAGAAAGGGATGTAATCTGCTTAATTGACCCTTCGTTGGATTCCTTCTCATTTGCAGCGTTTTTATTTCTTTGGCAAAGGCCATTCCTTGTACCTTGCTGATCAAATAAATTTTGGACTCCTGGAGTTCTTCCCTTGATAAAGGGCCGGATCGACGAGTTACACGTTTTATGTTATGTAGAAACTGGAAAATATAACTGAGTATGCAAATTAATTTCATATAATTATTATTAAGTTCAAACAAGGTATTGCCAAGGTCAGAACATGACATTGTCATTAAATTTACGTCCAATTGTTTTTTAAGCTCGGATAGATATTGCTCATCTGAGGAAATGTCGATGGCATGTTCAACAGATGGTGCTAGTTGAGATTGTGGCCCACTCTACCATAATTTCGTGAATAGTAGATCTTGCGGTTTTAAACCTCGAGAAACTACGTCTGCAGGATTGGAGTGGGAGGCTATATGTTTCCAGTGACAGCCTTCAGTAATAGATTGTATCTTTTCCACTCGATTCGCAATAAAGGTCTTCAGGCGATATGCGGGAGTGTTGATCCAAGCGATGGCAATAGTTGAATCTGTGTGTAAGATCACCTCAGCTATATCCATTCACAGACATGAGTGTACTTTTTGATAAGCTGAGACAGTACAGGACAAGCTGATAGCTCTAATCAAGGGATTGTAATGACCTTAAGAGGAGTGACATGAGATTTACTAGCAATAAGTCGTGTCTTGCTAGTTTCATCTTCCTTTATGCAATGCATGTAAACTTCTGCTCCATAAGCTGATTCCAAGTCATCTGCATATCCTAGCAAAACAGCTCTTTGAAGAGGGTCTGTCAAAATATATCTAGTAATCTTAAGATTGTCCAGGGCTTTCAAGGACGATACAAAGTTCATCCATTCATAGTTAAGGTTTTCTGGTAGGGTATCCTCCCAGTCGAGCTTACTGAGTCACAGTTTCTGTAGAAAGATCTTTGCTTGAATTATAACTGGTCCTAGAAGACCCAAGGGGTCATAAAGCCTGGCGATGAAACTCCATACTTCTCATTTCATATAAAGCAATTTTTCTGGAATCGATACCTTGAATATGAACTGATCTTCAACCGGCTTCCAAATAATACCTAAGGTTCTTACTGTTGGTTCTGCACTTGAGGAAAAGCAATGTTCTTTATTTTCTGGTGAACTACTGTTCATCAATTTCATTGAATTAGAGTTTCATTTGTGTAGTGTCATTCCACATGTGCTCAACATATTGCACAACTGAGATTGTAGTTCGAGGGCAGCATCGAAATCTTGCTCACCTGATACGATGTCATCCATGTAGACATCTCATAATATGGTTTTAGAGGCCAGAGGATAGCTTGCTTCTTCATCGTGAGCCAACTGCTTAAGAGTTCTCACCACAAGAAAGGGAACACTGGCGGTCCCGTAAGTCAGTTTTCAGTCTGTAGGTGACTGGCATTTCATCTTCCTCGTTCTTCCAAACAATTCTTAAGAGATCTCGTTGCGAAGGCTCAATTAGAATTTGACGAAACATTTTCTGGATAGCTGCTGTAAATGCATACTTGTATTTTTGAAATCTTGTCATAATCTTGAAAACATCTTCCTTTTCTTCACCTTTCAAGAGATGATTATTTAGGCTCAGTCCAGAAGTTGTGGGAGCAGATGCGTTGAAGACTACCCTTAACCTTGTAGTGGTTTTGTCTGGTCTAAACACACCATGATGCAGAAGGTAATAACATACGGGGTTTGCTACCTGATCACCAGAAGGCTCTTGCACCTTTTCTATGTGGTCCAAATCCAAATACTCCTTCATGAAATTCTGATATAACTCTTTAATTGATTGTCCCTTGATATACTTATATAACGAATGAACTGGATAAATATATTAGTAATAATTTTTATTAGCTGGATTATTAAAGGTGTGTGTCCCTTGATATTCTCTTCCATAACTGATTCAATCTCCTCAATGCTAATTTCCTTTACTCTCCCACGTTTTGTATGTCCTTGGTTGCCATCTGCACAATGTATCTCCTATCCTCATTACGTCTGCGAGTTCTTTGATAATGATCTTCGCAATACTCCTCTTCTTTATTCATCAAACTTGGAGTCTCTGCTAGAGTCTCTATTTGCCAGAACCTTTGTAAAACTTATCAACTGGCTCTGCCTCTGATATTAGTCCACAATATTGAACTTGATTATTAGATTCTGTAGATCCAGTTGCAATGTATCCAAAAACTGTGTTGCGAAATGTTAGGTTATTATTTCATGATGGACGAATTTGATCGTTCTTAACTATTTCAAAGAATGCTTCAGCTCCAATAAGCATGTCAATCTTGCCTGGTGTAGCAAATCTTGGATCAGCTAACTTACATGGAATTTCTGCTAATGTGTAGAGAGGAAACAGGGACTAAATCCATGATCCTTGGCACCACTAAGAACTCTAGCTTCTTAGAAAGAGATCCATTGCTATTTATTATTGTGGCAGGCAGCTTAAACTTGATCGAGGTTTTATTTCCACTTATACTGGAGACTGTGAGATCGATTCTTTCTTGCGGGGTACCCAGATGACTTGTGAAATCTCTAGTAACGATATTTGACATACTGCCCGAGTCCAATACTGCACACGCTTGAATGATGGCTCCAGTAGTATGATTTAAAACCCAAACCATAGTGGTCAAGAGAATTACTGTCTTATTTCCATTGTCAATGCATGACAGTGAGTGAGGTATATTTTCATGAAACTCTATTGCGTCTGGATTAAGATCCTGCTTGATTGGAGTTGGTTTGCTGTCGACCACTGGCACATTTGAACCAGTCATAGCTTGTTTCTCTCGGTGCAGTAATGTATTATATCACTTTCGGCATATCTTACAGCATCTCTTGGAGTTGCAATTGGATAACTTATGCCGATTCAATCTCCTCAATGCTAATTTAAGCAATTGAAACAGAGGTTGTTTTTGGCCATAACATTGTTTCTTTGGGAGGCTTCCAGCCATAAAAAGGAATCGCAAGTGTAAACAGGATGATTTTGTTTACATAAAATACAATAAGACATAGAATTGTTACATTTCACGAACAAGCTATTCAGTTTAACTCTATCTTGACTACACCTTGGTTTCACGAACATGGTCTTATTAATATTTTCTAAAATCTGAGAACGCTTTTTCAAAAATGAAATTAAATTATCTAGCTTAGGAAATTAAAAATAAAAAACCATTTAACTATCCAGCGTAATTCTTTAATAACATAAAAACGTTTTCAAATGCATTGAGCGTTCATCATCAGTTATTTCTCTAATTCGAAATGGGAAATTCGAAAAATTGATAATTTTTCGAATTTCAATTCACGTTCAAATTTCAATTTCCTGTTCAATGCGTTTGAAAACGTTTTTATGTTATTAAAGAATTAAGCTGGATAGTTAAATGGTTTTTTATTTTTAAGTTGAATTCTCCAGTAAGCAAGTATACAATTATTTATAGCTTAGGAACGCCATTTGAACTGATACTGAACTCATACTGTTTTAGAGTCTCCTTATCCAGCTTCTGAAGTACGATATTTAAAATTAAGATATCAGAAAGCTCATTCCTTTCGTATCCTAAGACTTTTAGTGCTCGCATATTGCTATTGATGCTATCAATTAAACTCCTCAAACCCCTTGCTGACTCATAAGATAATTTTACAAAGTCCAGAATTGCATTAACATGGATTTCTACTATTAATTTCTTGTTTTCATACCTTTCTTGTAGCACTTGAAACAATGAAACAAACGAATTGTTTAACATTTCTAAACTCATAGCTTCCCCTATGAGAACAGCCTTCAAATAATGTAGTTTTTGTTCTGCCGATAGTTGCTCGTTTGACGAAATGATATTATCAAATCGCATTTTAAAGTTACTCCATTCTTCATATCTTCCAGATAATTTTGGTAGAGGAATCTCTGGCAACTTAATATTAACGGAGTTATTTCGAACTGCAGGGCCCTGAATCACCGTGACCACGGATGAATCTGCTTCTAATCGTTTAATATGAGACTGGTTCTTAAATTTACAACTTATAATTTTGTCCTCATATTCTTCACTATTGACTATCTCAGTGTCATAATCAGTTGGGCTAGTAATGAAACCCTCAATCTCCCCATTCAAGGTTCTCAGTGACTCTTCCTTTCGACTCAACTGATCCAATATTTCTAGATGAGTTTCTGTCTCTCTATCATTGCTTTCAATTAAACTATCGATTTTACTAATTAATTTTGTCACACTAGCTCTTATTGAAGCGTGTGTTTTCTTTAATTTCTTGAGTTGATCCATTTCAAACTGTCTACCACAAATAACGGACAGATAAATTCCTCCTACCTTGGATAGGTGACTTAATGAAGTTTGACCCAATCTTATTTGCTTGCGAAGTTCTCTGTTTTCTTCTCTATCCGCCTTGATGGACCAGATGTTTGTCGATCTTTAATGGACTGTAAAAATATGAAAGTATTGCAGTTTGCAAAAAAAAAAAAAAAAATGTTTAATGCAGAATGAAACACTGGTACCAAATGGCCATTACAAAACTACTCTCGTTCACAAATTTTTAAATTAAAAAATTATTTTTATTACGAAAATACGGTGGCACTTGAGGTGCTAACATTAATTATTCTTGATTTATTTTTATCAATTTAAAATATCTATGTATTAATTGAAAGTTTATTTTAGTTTTTTTGGCTTAGTTTGAGTAAACAACTGGGGTTAAAATTACAGTTTAGGTATCAAATTAAAGCTCTGATCCTGCAGATGATGCGATTGAAGAGATATTTGAGAAAGGTACAATGGTTCAGATGTGGGTCATTGTATCTAACCATAGATGATTACCATTGTAAGTCCATGGTCAATCATATCAATTGATTGTAAAATTTGTTGCGACCACCACAGCTCTTCTTAAGACTTATACTTTAGGAACTGCAGATATAGAATATAAAGGAACAAGTAAATTATTTCATGATGAACTCAGGATATTTTTCTTCTAATTATCAATTAGAGTTCAGACTATGTACAAAAAATTATTTAATTAATTTTTGAGTCTATCAAATCCTTTTTTCACACACCATAGAAGTAGCCTTTACATTGGCTTGAAGAAATCACTTCATAAAAACGAATAACAATAGGTAAAATTTACAATTAAAAACGATCAGACGTCAGCCTTTCATTTTAGGTATCTGACGCCTTAACATTAAAAATTAAGTAAATCTTCTCACCAACCTGATACAGATGGTATAAAACTTGGGAGTTGGTGAGAAGATTTACTTATAATTTTTTTTGCTTTATCTTTTAACTATATAATATAGAAATATGTTTATCCCTATACTCAATGGCCACTCACATAATTTGATTACAGGTATTTGTGGGTGTAATTTGATTGCACTGTCCCAGTTATGTAAAGTAAATCATATTTATTTATTTTTACTTATTGTTTTTATTTTGACTAATTTTCTTTGTTCAGTAATTATAATAAAATAAACCGGGAAAAAATTAAACAGAATATAATTTTATTTATTAATATTAAAATTATTTTTTGTTTAATTTTGTTCAAAATATTGTAACCTTTTAATTAAGAGGTTTTCCTCATGAATTTTTCTTGTTTTAATGTACTGTATTAATTTTGTAATGTATTATCAATTATTTTTAGAACTTTATCACATCATTGATTTAATATTTGTTTGAACCATTAATGTTCATTTCTTTTAAGTTATGATAGGAATTTAAAATTGGCATATAACCCATTACATACCATCTCTTTCAGATTATCTTTCAAACATAGATAACCTGGGGATTATTCACATAAAATTTCAGCAATCAAGCAGTTCTTCATAACATAAAAAAACACTTTGTTTTGAGATTTTGATTTTCCTGATAACATATTTGATATTTAATAATTTCTTTGACTATAACATTTTCTTACACATGCATATTTTATATCTGAATGAAGTCAGTGTTACTTTTGACAAGCATTTTATTCAAAATTTTTGAAAGTTGATTCTTATAATCTGATCTTTCATATACATTGATAATTTGTTATTTTGGAAAATTATACTACTACTATTTGTTGTGTAACATTTCTGTAAAAATAATTTTCTCTTTATACATGAGTCAATTACATAAGTAAAATGAAGGGCTACTATCACAGGTGAATTTTCAAATGTCTTGTTAAGCCAATATTGTGAGATTAAATATTTACAAGTATGTAAGGAGGAAAGACCAAAACATTTATTTATGTGAAGTGATGAGTGAGTTTGTTTCTCATGAATGAAGCAAAAATGAATGATTTTACAGAACAAAAACAGGTTTGACAAATAACTAAATTTAACATTTTTGTGAGAGCTCATTTGTTAATATGTGTACAGTAAGACCCTGCATAATACAGCCTCGAATAACACAGATTCAATATAATGCTGTCTGCTCATAGCTTAAAAAAGCTCAAAATTTATGCTGATTCAAATTATCGTATCATTTCATTCATTCATATATAATATGATTATTTACGAACACAAACCAATCGGCAAAAGGTGGCAATTTGTTGTAGCACTGTACTTTCCTTAAATCTGTTTGTTTGGTGCAATTTTCAAAAAAATATAACATTGTGGATGCCATAGGCAATATCAACTTCTCTTGGCAAGAATTAACTGATAACTGATGAACAGTGTGTGAAAGAAGTTGTGAGGGGCTCAGCCGTGGATACGGAGTGGTAAGACTCTTGTACCACTTATCGGCAACTATTCTCTAGAATAGCCCTCTGTTTGTCTAAAAGAATGGTTTTCCTAATTCAAGGAAATCGAGTGCGGAGGGACTTAGTTTGAATGTTAATTTAAAGTGGAATTTGATGATCGTGTAATCACCTTTTCCTTATGTCAGGATTCCCGACACCAGTTAATCACTTTTATTTTATATGTGGATTAACATGCGTTATCCCTAAACTCGTGAATATTTAACATTAATATTAAAGAAGCCATATTTATATAACAAATCAAAATATTGAATGCAGGGACCTTTTTTGAAGAAGGGCCAAATTAAGATTAAGTTTATTGACTGGGGGCCGGACCTCCAAGTGATTAATGCGATGTCTGATGCAATTTGCGAGATTCTTTGTTGTATCGTCATGTGGTTAAGACTGATTGTTTGAAAACACTGTCTTCTCAGGACACATCTCACTTGTGATGATAAGACACTTTTTTATCATATCGCCATCTGTGAAAGGTTTCCCATTCTTGGCTATTAAAGCAGATATTTCTAGGCTGGCTTCAACAGCCGCATCCAATTCTCCAGATTGTTTCTTGAACACATTTTGTTGGCTGATTAGTGATCGTCGTAACGATTCGATTTTCCGTTTGCGTTCCGTACCTTGCAGAAGGAAATCCTTGTGTTGGCTTTCATGATGTCGCTTCAGGTTGAATTCTTTTGGCACTGCTATTGTTCCATTGCACAAAAGGCAAATAATGCTGTTGTTCTGTTGCACAAAACAGTACTTGTTAGTCCACACTTCCACTTCTTGAAACTGATGATTCTCGCGATTGACCTTGCGTTTAATGCCCGGCGCCATACTGTTCACTCTGCAAAACAATGTCTCATTGTGCCGAAAATTCTGAGGCCCGCAACAAATCATGTTTGAGATAAGGCAAGCTAGACTACCACGTGCTTTGTTCTGTATCCACTCTGACCAAAGACTAAAGAGGCGGGGACAGAAGACTATTACGCACACGTGGCCAGGCAGGTCTTAATTCGTTCGACCCCTGTCCGGGCGTCTCCACCATTTCTCAGAATTTGTGAGTCAGATCGTCAACATGCCAGGTGCAGGACACTAATCCATCATAAATGTGGTTACCATTCTTACCTAAATTATATTTATGGCCCGTCAGTTTTACCCCCGTGTTCAGAAATGAATCAAAAGTGATTAACACAGTGCAGTGGAAAATCTGAATATTTTAAATATAATTATTAAAATTGCGATATCTCGTTTCAAATTGGCGCTAGAATCAATCTGTTTTTTTTTTTTTTTCTGTCCTAAATATATCACAGTTTACGACTGTTAAATTTCAAATAAAATAAAAATTAAAAATAATAATTTAATTTTAAATTTACGAAAAAAAGAATGTAAAAATAAAAGTAAATAAAAAGTTCCAATTAATTTACTACTTAAATAACCTAAATATATCTGTTTTCTTTCAAACAAAAAAAACCGCAGCTTTCTAGCTACACGGAATCATTTTACAACCCTCTTTGTTGACAAGTTTATGGCTTGACGCGGTTTGTAATAATTATTAAATCCAAAATATTTTAATGCAAATGGCTTCCTTTTAGTCGTAATGACTCTATTCCAACTACAGTATTAATTTTCTTGGTCCAACTTAATAATAATAAATTTGATGTGAAAAATTTTTTTTCTATTCTTTGTCTATGGAGAGATATTGTTGTAAATTATTGGTTTTATAGCTTTTTGTACATTCCTTTTTGAACTCTGGTTAGTTTTTTTCTAGTTTGAATGACATTAGGTTGACGAATAAGCGTCTTTTCAGAAAAGATTGATTCAAATTCGACTATACCAATCAGAATCTAGAATGTAAACAAATGCTAAAAAATCGTTATTTTCATGGTTTTTCAGCGCTATTTTCACTTATTTTTGTTATTTGACGCTATTTAGACGAATAGGCAAGTTTTCCGAAGCATAAAATTTAATATTTTCCGCCAAAATAGAAACTTCCCGATAACATCGGAAAAAGACATTCTAACATCATTTTAAAATATTCGATATCTAAACCAGAAAGTGTTAGATAGAAATAGACTTATTTATAGAACAATCCCCCATTTCTCACCTCAGGGAAAGTCATAAAACAGTTGGGTGCTAATGACTTTGTGAAAGGGAAAAAGTTCTACACTTAGAAACTTCGAAAGAAGCGATTTGACCTGTACCGTCCACGGGCCGCATAAACATTGATAAGGGGCCGTATGTTGCCCGCGGACCGCAGGTTGTGCACCCCTGTTTAATGGATCAAAATATAAAATTATACAAAACTTGTGAATCTAAACCTAATCTTAATTCTAATTATTAACCTAAGATTATCTCTAAACCTAACGCATGAAAGAGAGTTCACAACAATCTATCAGAGTTCATATTACCTTTTTCTTTAGGTCTTTCATATCTTTTTCTATATCTATTTGAGGGTCTTCTTCCTTTCTTGATTATTTCTCTTGTAATATTTTCTAGGAGAGTTCTTTTAAATCTTCTCTTGTATACTTTGAATGTAGTACTCTTTCATAAGACGAGATCTTTCTTCGTATGGCAATACCTTTCTTCAATGGACTGCCTCTGTCGTATGGCTAGTTTTCTTCTTCAGTATGGCAAACCTCATTTCGATGGACTGCCTCAGTGGCGGGAAAACGTCCTTTTTATTTGCTCTCCAGTAACGTGTGCAAAAACTCGACTCATCATGAGTTGGCCTGGGAAAGGAAATCAACTTCCTTTCAAAATCGGATGTTTTCCCAATTTTTTTTTAGAAACATTGTTGAAGTTGAAAAATATTAATTTCTCTTAATATCTTTTCTTCAACTTGTTATTTTGATTAAAATGACCCTCACCTGAATTTCCATATTCTCACAAAGTTATGGCTGAACGTATGCAAGAATTCTTAACAAGAAGAGCCTATAACTGTATCGTTAAGTCGACAAATTGTCAACTTAATCAATATAGCAGGACTAAGAGATGTAGATGAGCAGGATATTGAGGAGTTACTGCGGGTTTCTGGTGGGAGCTTTACCAATGACAGTTGGTAAGACACTCATGAACAGCAACCTTCGAGAACTGGCAGAACAAGGAATTCATGTAGAACTGGAAAATAGTGATTCTGAAAACAAACCCAAAGAACTTGCTATAGATTTCCTTAGTAAAAGTTTGGTAATGATAACCAAATCATTTGATTAAATTATAGCAAATGATCCAGATTTTGAAAGGAGGCAAAAGCAAGGTAAGGCATTTTGGATGCGATCTTCTGCTACCAATATTTGCTTAAGGAAAGAAAAAAAGCGACAAATGAAACTACATGACTTCATAACAAAAAAACAAGAATTTCAGAAAAGCCAGGACGTTCGTTCATCACAAAAATGATCTTTACATTTCTGTGTGCATATGTTATGTGTGTTATTTAACATATATTATTATGCAAATTAATATAAAAATAACTTAAAATTAAACTAAAATCTGTTTAATTTTGGTTGCGTGTTCTCCTTTCTATATTTACTCTGTTAAAATGACCTCATTTAACACTGTTTCCTTAGCACTTTGTTGTCTAGGAACGTATCCCCTGCGTTAAGCGGGGTCTTACTGTATTTAGATTTTTGTGTTCATGGATTATAAACTTTAATATGATGATAGAGAGATACATTGCTGATTGTGTTTATTAATTTTAGTGTTGTTTGCTGTAAATGTCAAATATCAAAATCGTTTTTGTCATTTAAGTCAGAAGAAGGTTATAGAATAGAAGTTATGTAAAACCATAAATGAAATACATTTAATTAACTTAACCAATAATATGAGTGGTGAAATAACAAATATTTGATACAATTTCAATTATTATGAATAGAATTTTTAAATTTTAAATTTTTTTTCAATCATACAATTATACATTAATTAAATTAATAGATATAACTGAAAGTATTTGTTTGATAAGTATTAAGCGAAAATTCTGATTTTGATCTTATAAACTACTTACATACATTATTTAAAATATTAATTATAATTTTAGTTTAAAATAAAATTTTTCTATATTTTTTTTTCTGCAGATGTTTCAAGAACAGCATCTGGTTTATGCCAGAATATTATTCGCCCAACTGATTATGATAAAATTTGTTTGTCATTATTGAGTGGTTTACCAAATGAACAAGAATTTGCTCTTAACATTTGTACTATATTATCAAATGAAGGAAATCATGTTTTGCATTTGGAACAATTACCACGTTTGGTTGACTTGTTATTAGGCTTGGCAGGAATCTGGAGAAAAGGTTAGTGTCATTTTAAAGTGTAAACCATATATTTAATATAAATATTTTAAACCTAATATAGAATTCTGTTTAACAATTTGTTATTAGTTTTGAAAGTCAATAATTAAACACCAATGATAGGTGAATAAATGTTGAATGTAGATTTCTAAATTAAATTCATATAAATATTAAGAAAAATGTTCAGTTTAGTTCACTTCTTTCAGATAGTACCATTAGAACAAAAATATGTAGTAAGTTCAATTTATTATATTGATATTTATTTTGGAAGAAATACATTCCTCCCTTTCAACAGTATGAAATAAATGTAATTCAGAACATCAAGAGCTCAAAAATTGTTTACACTGAAACAGATTCAAGATGTTTCATCCCATCATCAGTAGTTTAAATTTGCATTTGTTTCCTATTTTTAAGAACATAAAATTCTATTCTTTAGAATTTTGATTCTCTTAAATTTTAGAATATGAAAAACAAATGCATCACTGATAACAGAATTACATGTTAACAAATACAAGTGACCAAAATCAGTTTTACTATGCAAATTTTGCCATTTATTTTTCCACTTCTTTCATAGATATATTTTAGATTGGCATCTGTGGATTCCCAGACGAGGTTCAAACTTGAGTAAACCGTGAAATTCTTGCGTGACACAAGATGTAAACAACGAGACTCGGAACTGTTCGAGTATGTGTCAAACTATCTGTCAAGGTCTTAGTGGAAGACAAACTCTAACATGAATGCTCATAAATAGGTAGATCATCGACTCACGAGTCTATAAAACGTTGGCCGAGATACACCTTTTCGAAAAAAAAAGGAGAATTTTTGATAGATGAAAATGATCATTAAATTCTTAGATGTCAAAAAAAAAGGTAAACAATGGCCTGAGTTATGAGTGTAGGCGTTATTGTTTTATAAACAGTCACTGAGCAGAGTCGACAAAGAGGTATCAGATGGACACTTTGAATCAGACCTTTCCCACAACTCAAAAAGGTTTTGTCTTGCACCTGAAGACAAAGGAGAGACCAATCAGGAAGCAAGGAATGGGACGAGGGACCAATCCGAAATGCGAATAGTGGGGGGGAACTATAAAAATCGGAACTTAAAGGTCAAAGGAGAGTCTCCTCTGGATTAAGCCTACAGTTGTGCTTTATCAATTGTGTTGTGCTACTGCCAATTACCTAGGACGCCGCAGCTTAACACCGAACATCTGCATCGTCCAGCGATCCTTCTTGTCCGCCCAGGCTATGACCGATCACCCGCACTTTTATTGTTTCATAGGAATACAGAGATTTTGGAATTGTCCAATATCGGTGTAAGCATGAATTCGAACAAATAAACAGGTTTTCTCTTGTAAAAAAGACTTGTTCTTCATTTGCCTCCTTTGCCACCGCCCACATAGGGGTTTTCCTTTAGGCTCATTCTGATGCAGGATAAATTGTACTCCCCTTAAAGTCAGCAAACCTTACACATCTTTATCAACATGACATTCCAGGTTTAATCACAATACAGCTGTATTTCAGAACTATAAGCAAATAAATGGCAAACTTGTTTTGCAAAAGTGATTTTTGGTCATTTATGTTAATGAATATACTAACAAACACAACACCTTATTAATCCCAGCAATATTTAATAAGAATAATAATGTTTTCGACTGTTTGTGTTTGTTAGTTATATATTATCCAGTAAGTTCTTTATTTATTTATCTATTACAATGAATATACTTTCTGGTTTCAGTAAATGACATGTCCTAAAAAATTTTGGATGGAGATTTGATGTTTAGATTATCAGAAATTTTTAAGTTTTTGATTAATTTTTTAAATTATATTTAATTCCATATTGAATAACTGATTGAAATGTATATGGAAGTTCAAAAATTAGCTTTTTCAAACTACACATACTGGCTAGAAAATTGTGAACTGCTATTGCTGCATTTTATGCTAGTGATATACAAAGGATATTTTTATGTGGGTGATTGTGTTGTTTCCATGGTCCAATAAAATTATGCATACAATTTTTGCCTCAGTGATGGAAAAACACTTGATCTTTGAGTTTGAGAAAGCTCTATTGTTGGTGATTGTCTAGTCAAAGCCATGATAAAGAAAATGAAAACTTTAACTGGATTTTCAAAAGAAACAATATCAACAATTTTTAATTAGTGAAAGGAAAATGGCATATCAGGATGGCATAACTTGAATCAGAAGACAGTCCTTGGAGAATTGGCTCCAAACAAACTTTGATACCAAGATTGCTTGATGTAATAGTCATTCTAGTGTGCAACAACTGACTAAGAATTTACTTAATTTGCAGTTAAAAATGCAAATTTAAACTGCTGATGATGGGATGAGACATCTTGAATCTGTTTCATTTAAAAAAATTTTTGGGTTTATAGATATTTATATACACTGATGTGCAAAACTTAAACAACAATTTTTTTTGCCATAACTTCACAAGAAATTATCTGAGAGACATGAAATTTAGAATTCAGAGACAGTATTTTGTACTTAAAGGATGAAAGCATATTAATGCAAATATGAATAGAATGTCTTTAATAATGCCTTTTGTTGTTCTTTTTGTTTGTAGTCTTGGATTGCATGTGCAGATTGCATGCATTTTGCATGCCATCAGGTCACCTATGATGTCTTCTTCCTGCATACAAATCACTTTTCTACTGAATTGGTGTTCATTATACTGATCACAACAAGCCCATTTTTACAGTTTCATGGCTGTCTGCTTAAAAAGTTGCTTACATTGTTGCTTAAGTTTTGCACAGCTGTGTATATAAATAGTTGTCCCATTTCTATATGAACTGTACAAAGAGATATGAAGAAAATTAGTATTGGGAGTACCCATGTGAAAGTAGAGAAAAACAGAAAACATTGCTAAGAATACTGTAAATGAACATAGATGACTGGAAAAAAATCATGTGGTATGATGAGTAATATTACATACTGTTTTACAATGATGATAGGCAAAGTATGAGCAACAAGCCATGAGGCCTTTGATCCAGCGTGTCTTGTAAACACAATTCAGGGTTATGGAAATGGTAACATGGTGTAGTATATTTTTTTTGTTTGTTTTGCATGGATTGGATTCTCTAATACCACTGAAAGGACAAGTGTCCTCTAACAGATTATTTGAACAATGTTTTAGATCAGTGGTTCCCAATTACTTTTTCCTGCGTACCACTTCAAGAAAGAGCTCAAACTCGCGTATCCCTTATAGCAGAAATTCATATTAATCCATACTAATATAAATCCGAAGATAATTCGGTCTCTGTGTGAGTCGTCAATGTGTCCAGCAAACCACGACCTCCATACGAAAAAGGCTTTCTTGCGTGATCCTGACAGATCGCGGGCGAAGCAAGAGTCGTAACCTTTCACTTTAAGGATGAATATATACAGTATATTAATTAAGTAGTTATTATTATTTAAAAAATTATTTTAAATTGCGATATAGATATGAGAGCATTATAAAAAGTTGCAAAAACATTTGGGTTGGATGGCCAAAGGCAGTCAGGAGTAGAACATCTATAAATATTATAAAGATACATAGTAAAGTCATGCTGCATCTCAGTTTTGACAGGTTCCAGAGAGCAGTGGGTTATATTTCTCACTGTTTCATAGGTATTTGCGTGAGAAAGTGCTAATGTAGTTGAACTGTGCTGCAACATCTTAAGATGCAAAATATTTCTAGATATTCATTTAATAAACTTGAACAAAGTCCAAAATTATGTAGTGACATGATTAATCTAAAATTATATTCTTAAATGAATAATAACTGGGCTACTGAAACTAAAATGTTATAAACATATGTTATTTATCTATATATATAAAAATGAATGTATGGCTGTCTGTCCTTCATGCATTACTACACCATTTATCCGATTGCCATGAAACTTGGGAAGTTGTTTAATACACTTTCGCGAAGGTTTCTGGCATAGTACATTTATCCTACAATAGATGGCACACATGTATACGAGCATTTCATCGTGAGCATTTCAGCATGGTTAGTTGAAACTTGAAATTTGGTATAGTTAAGCCCGCAGGCGGCAAGGAAAAGCGGTGTCGCAAACGCATCTTCACCGCCAGCAGCAATCCGCTTACATTTCAGTGCATGCGTTCAGTATTCAAGATGGCGAACGATACCGATATTGTCACTATCCACGTGTTTACAAATTTTGTTTTGTACGGCTTGCTTTATTTATTTAGAAGATTTTGTCGAAGATTCGAACAAAGATTTTGGATTAGAGATATTTTCTTGGATTGATAAAAAAAACTGGTGTACAAAATACGCTTATTCCTCAATAAAGAATACTATTTAGAGTAAGATTCAGTTGTTTTGTTTTTTGAATTAAATTATATATGATTATTTGTGTAGGATTTGTGTTAAATTTATTATCCTTCCCTCTTTATTCTGATGATAGTTATCTTGGTTAACCGTGTCGAACTTTCTATTATTAAAACATCGCGTGATTGTATTTTCTCACGTGACTACCAGACAAACTGTTATTGGCTGATAGAAATGCGTCTTGGCGGCAGTTGCCGCAAAAGATAAAATTCAACCAACTTTTGCGGCACGAGAAAGGTGGCACAAAATCGACTTCTGCGGCGAGAAAAAGTGACATCATCATGTTGCTTTTCCTTGCCGCGCCATGTGTGTGCATCTGGCTTTAGGGTACATCATGAGAATGCACACTAACAAGGGATTTTTTGTAATACCCTACAGGGAAAGTGACAGGATTAAGGCTTCAACAATGGAAGTGTTAATAGAAAGCAATGTGCAAGATTTACAGGCACAGATGCAGTTTTTTGCATTAAATCGAACATAATTTTAGACCCGTCTAAAAATTTTAAAATTAGTTTGGAAACAGGGGAACCTAATTCTTGCATTCTGTGAAAATTGGTAAGTTTGGCTGTAATGTAATAATCTTAATCTTCGCTATTGTTACTTTTTGCCTAAGCAACGCCGGGCTTATCTGCTAGTTTGTAATAATAATCTCTCCA